TTCCAAGCCTTGGTCGGCCGTGCAGGCAATGCAGGATGCGTTTTCGGCCGTGATCGGCAAGCCTAAGAGCATAGCAAGGATCATTCAGGCCAGCAAAGGCATCTCGAAGATGTTCAACCGCGCTTGTCAGGAAGTACTGGATGCTCCCTGCAGCGGAAAGCGGGTGAAGAACCTGCAGTACCGCAGGCACCGGTTCGACTCGCAGCAGAGACCTCTCCAGAAATTCGTGCTCTTTTTCGAGGCCTTCCTGAAGGTGGCGATCCATCTGGCAGCTGATCGTAACCACGACGACACGGCACACGCCGAGGAGTTTCTTGCCCAGGTGACGGATCAGCAACTAATTTTGCTGTCCATGAGCGCAGATGCTTCCGATGAGGCGGTACGCCTCATTCGCTACTTCGACTCGGACACATGGGACATTGCGAGCATGCAATACGAATGCTCTGTGTACGCCAGTCGGCTGAAGTATTTGTTCCTTGATGGCCAGGTTGTCAATTCTGGTTATACCCAGCATATGCTCGAGACGCTCAAGAAGTCGCGGGGCTGGCTGTGCCGGGGCCGCCCAAAAACAGTGGGCGGTGCGGCGACGGGCTATGCATCAGCGGTGCAGGCGGCCTTGCAGAGTCTCCAGGCGTTCGTCCGAGTTGCCCTCGAGACTCTGCGGGCGGAATTTCCGTCATTCGAGCTGCTGGGATCGTTCATGGTCTTCAATGTCCAGAGTGGACGTGACAAGCTGGAGACCGAAGAGCTGCAAACGGAGGCGGCGGAGCGTTTGTGCCAGGTGCTTGGGTTTGAGCTTGAAGATTTTCTCGGTGAATTCGCAGCTCATCAAGCTGTGGCGTTCTATGAAGCTAGGTCAGGCAAAGACAACTTCGAGTCCTGGAAATCCGCTGTCCTGAAGTCCCGGGCGTCGCAGAGGCCCGTGCGCGAGCATTATCCAAGCGAGATCCTTACAGAAGTCCTGGCTAGATACGGTGCTTGGCAGTCGGCGAGCACATCAGGTATCGAGCGACTGTTCAGCATGAGCACAGACCACGTACCATCCGATCGGCAGCTCTTGAAGGAAGAGCATTACTTTGCTGAGATCAAGGTGCGAGCCGACTTTGCCTTGCACGACAAGCAGCAAGTGGCCGAGATCGCGCAGCAGCTGTGGATGCTCAACTCCGGGCCTCCACGTAAATCCTGCTTCCATCGTCTGGACAAGGGCTGCCGCCGAGAACGGCAACTGGGCACCCTAGCTCATTTTGTGCGGAAGCGTCGCCAAGCAGTGGAGAGGAACGCGCAGGTGATGTCCGTGGATGATGTGCAAGCTGAAGTGGAGTGCCTGGACTTGGACATGTCGCTGGCGGATGAGATGGCTTTGGACCACGCCATCACGTTTCAGAAGGAGAAACAATGGAGGAATCAGCGCACGGCCTTTCTAGAAAATGCCCTGCTGGAGTCAGAGGTTCCCGATGACATGGTGGATGTTGCAGCTGCTTTCTTGGAGCACCAAGACAGGCTGGACCGCGACCGAAAACGCAATGTCAGAAACTTGCAAGCACGTCTAGACCCTGTGGCACCGAGATTGCCGGGAAAGATGATTTACCTGGAGAGGCCGGAGTGGCAGCACATGCCCTTTGCCGCAGACCTGGAGCTTTGCGCTGAGCGGCGGCTTGCGGAAATATTTGTCGTGGAGGACTACAACAAGTCGCAGAGAAGTAGCTGGTGTTGTGCATTGCACGGGGGTGCTATGGTGGACCTGGAGTATGCGGTCTCCGGAGGCTCACGCGGGACTGCCTTCAGCTACCATGGAGCTGTCTTGTCCAAGCGCTGGATTTGGATCTGTCCTCTCTTCTGGGAGAAGCACGAGCACCTGGCCGAGATCGTCAGGACCGCTGCAGTGGCACCCGCTAGCCGCTGGAAGCTTCTGCAGTCCTGGGAAGAGTTCCTCAGCCGGGACCGCGGCGACTTCACTGTGCTGGCACTGACTGTCCCCGAGATGGTCGCAGAATTCAATGGTCAAAAGAACGTCATGGTCAAGGCCACGTTCTATGAGTTGATTTCAAAGAAGGTCGCATGTACACATTTCGGTGTATGCGGCAGATAATTCGCAACAGGATCGACTTCTTAACCATGGCGTGCGCGAGCCCTGCGCCTGGCTCCAGAGGTCTACATTTCCAGGTTCCGGTTCAGGGTTCAAGGTGTGTGGTTCAGGGTAGGGCTCCAGCGCCAAGTTGCGGGAAATTGCACGCGCCAGAGGCCCTGAGCTTGGTCTCTGACACCTTGCATGATCATTAGCCGCAAGGCAGCGGAGTGACGAAGTACGGCCATGCGAGCAGCAGCTGGGGGATGGAGGGATGAGAAAGTCCGCTGCATATGCCTGTATGCATGTCAGAGTCAGCAGGAGTTCCAGAGCCTGAGTAGCTTTCCGTCTTTTCCGTGAGTCCGTGCATGGCCTTGAATGAGACGTGCACCTGGAGAGTCTTGCTGGAGTCGCGCCTTGTGTGACTTGTACTTCTACAACCTGCGCAGGCGTGCCCCGCCGCATCACCGGAGGCAGACGGAACTTCCGGAGCGCAGGGCCAGGAGAGAGTGCAGCCAGGGATTTCGGCAGATTCGTTCGGTATGTCCTGTGCCTGCTGGCATCCGGCCATGCGAGCCGCAGCTGATGGAGGGATGGCCTGTATGCTTGTCGGAGT